GAGATGCAACTCATTAGTACTTGCATGGATCTTTAATTCAGTTTCAAAGGAGATCTTTAATGGTATAGTTTACTCCACGAGTGCTGCACAAGTTTGGCAAGATTTGAAGGAGCAGTACAACAAAGTGAATGGGACTAGAGTTTTTGGATTACATCGGGAAATTTCTAACCTGACTCAAGGAACTAATACAGTAGCTAGCTACTATAGCAAGCTTATGGGATGAACTGGATTCCTTGGTCAGTCTCCCTGCACCTGATAGTGTCTCAGCAAAGGCATATCTGGAGCACTTAAATTAGCAGAAGCTACTGCAGTTTTTAATGGGGTTAAATGAGTCTTATTCAATGGTTCGAAGCCAAATCTTGCTGATGAACCCTTTACTGAGTGTCAAATAGGCTTATTCAGTGGTCAATCAAGATGAAAGCTAGAAAATATTGGCAGGAATGAGTTTGATTCCAGAGATAAGTACTGCACTTTATGCCAATCATACTAGAAATGGCAAAAATCAAAGTCAGGGCCAAAAATATAAGGGGAAAAAAATTATATTGAATGTGAATTTTGCCATATTCCTAGACACACGACAATTGTTACAAGCTACATGGTTATCCACCTGACTATCAATTTACTAAAGGAAAAGGAAACTCTAAGTCAAAAGCCACTGCTAATCAGGTGCACACTTCGAAACCATTGGATACTGGAAATTCAGGATCAAGCACTGGGAATTCAGAGTCAATGGTTAGTCCTATTTTGACCATATCCTTCAACTGCTAGGAAAGGAGAATGTTTCTCTGCCAGCTGCGAACCTGGTAGGTAATTCGGTTGTCCTGATGTCTTATTTTGATAAAAGTTGCTGGATAATTGATACTGGAGCATCTAACCATATGACATTTGACCATTCTATCTTACAATCATCCACTACTATAGAACCTTCTACAAAATACCTTGTAGGATTACCTAATGGAACAAAGACTTATGTTAAACATGTAGGATATGTAGTTATGGACAATCCTTTACACTTGTCAAATGTCTTGCATATTCCAAATTTCCATCACAATTTACTTTCAGTCTCTAAACTTGCTACCTCTAACAATTGTTTTGTTACTTTTTATCCTAATTTTTGTCTCATTCAGGATCTTTGCAATGACAAATTGAAGGGGATTGGTAAGCATAGGCAATGTCTTTACCTTTTTGATTCAAAATCAAAAGTTTCTTCCTTTGTATTAGATTTAGGACAGTTGAATAAGGCTGTTTGCCATACTGTAGAGTCATCACGAATTGTACCTCTTGAAATGAATTTGAATAAAATGCTTGTTTCTTTACTTTCATTATCGCCATCTAATCATTTTGAGTTATGGCATCAAAGGTTAGGGCATGCTTCTTATTCTATTTTGCCCCTTGTTCATCCTAGTCTATCAAAGTCTAAAACATATATACATTGTTCTATCTGCCCTATAGTTAAACAAACTAGAAAACCTTTTCCAAATAGTACATCTCAAACACAGAAAATTTTTGATTTACTACATATGGATGTATGGGGTCCCTATAAAACACCTACACATGACAATGCAAGATATTTTCTCACTATAGTAGATGATTTCTCTAGGGTTACTTGGTTGTTTCTTATGCAATTCAAGTCAGACACTTATTCTACTATTAAACATTTCCTTCGCATGGTCCATACACAATATAGTTTGATCCCAAAGTGCATTAGAACCGATAATGGTTTAGAGTTCTTTAACAAAACCTGTCATGATCTCCTAAGTAGTCAAGGCATCATTCATCAAAGTTCATGTGCTTATTCTCCTCAACAAAATGACATTGTTAAGAGAAAGCACAGGCACATCTTAGAGGTTGCTAGGGCTTTAAAATTTCAGTCCAAGATTCCCACTAATTTTTGGGGATATTGCATCCAAACTGTTGTATACATTATCAACAGACTGCCCACTGTAGTCCTTAAAGGTCAGTCACCATTTGACAAGTTTTTTGCCAAACCACCATCTTTGGATCATTTCAAGGTTTTTGGATGTTTAACCTATGCTACAATCTTATCTTCTAAGGACAAATTACATCCTAGAGCTTCACCTTCAGTATTCTTGGGGTATTCTCTTACACAAAAAGGGTATATCCTATACAATTTATCCACTCACACTGTTTTTGTTACCCGAGATGTTTTTTTCTATGAGCATGTATTCCCTTTCACTTTGCCAACACCTTCCTCGAATCCTTTTCCCATAGATTCATATTTTCTTGTTCTAGAGTCAGTTTAGTTCTCTTCTATAGATTCCATTCAAACTCATTCTTCTACTTGTCCTGGTTCTCCATCTGTCTAGACTATAGACACTGATGTTTCACCTGGTTCTGTTCCAGTTTATTTAACTCCTCATGTGCCCAATAATCCTCAAGTTTCACCACATCCTCTTAGAAGATCTAGTAGACTTACCAATCCTCCCATTTGGACACAAGATTTTGTTTGCCCTACAATACATAATGATCCTGCAACCAATGTTTCTCATTATCCCATTACCAATTTTGTGTCCTATGCTAATGTGTCCTCTTCGTACAAAGCCTTCTTGTCCAATCTTTCTTTGGTAGAACCTACCACTTTCACACAGGCCTCTAAGGATCAAAATTGGGTCAATGCCATGCAAAAAGAAATTCAAGCATAAGAAACTAACCACACCTGGTCTTTAGTATCATTGCCCCCTAGAAAGGTTCCCATTGGTTGCAAATGGGTGTACAAACTTAAATACAAGGCTGATGGCACCCTAGATAGATACAAGGCACGTTTGGTTGCTAAGGGGTATACGCAGCAGGTTGGGATAGGTTATGCGGAGACTTTCTCTCCAGTGGTCAAAATGGTTACTGTTCAGACAGTTTTGGCCTTGGCTTCCATGAATAATTGGCCACTTTATCAACTTGATGTGGACACTGCTTTCCTGCAAGGGGATTTGCAAGAAGATATTTACATGACATTACCCTAGGGTTTTCCAAAACAGGGGGGGCAGAAACTTGTTTGCAAGCTTCATAAATCTTTATATGGGTTGAAACACGCTTTTAGAGCCTGAAATTTTAAGCTGACTACAACCCTTTTGGATGGTGGTTTCCAGCAGTCCAGGTCAAATTACTCCCTGTTTATCAAAAGAAATCAGTCTCACATTGTCATGCTCATTGTGTAAGTAGATGACATTGTCATAACAGGTAATGATCCAGCTTTGATTAGTCAAACTAAGCAACTGCTGCACAACAATTTCAAACTAAAAGATTTAGGTGTATTGAGATATTTCCTAGGATTTGAAGTAGCTTGATAATCTAAAGGAATCAGCATCTATCAACATAAATATGCATTGGAACTTATCTTGGAATCAGGCTTATCAGGTTCTAAACCATCCTTGGTTCCCATGGAGTCCAATATTAAGCTTACCTCAGCAGCTTATGACCATCAGTTTCCTTCTGATAGTGCACAACATGATCATCTTCTTGAGGATCCAACTGTTTATCAAAGATTGATAGGTAAACTATTTTACCTCTGTATGACCAAGCCAAATCTTAGCTACTCAGTTGGCCTATTAAGTTAGTTTATGCATCAGCCCAAGTAGTCCCATATGGCAGCAACTCTAAAGGTGGTTAGATATGTGAAATCAGCTCCTGGACTTGGTTTATTCTTTCCTGCTCATACTACTCTGTCTTTATCAACCTATAGTGACTCTAATTGGGGTTCTTGCTTAATGACAAGGAAATCCGTTATTGATTTTTGCATCTTTCTTGGCTCTTCTCTCCTTTCCTGGAAGTCTAAGCGCCAAGCCACTATTTCAAAGTCTTCCTCTGAGGCCGAATATAGAGCTATGACCTCTACCATCTGTGAAGTCATCTGGTTGGTCCAATTACTCAAAGAACTTGGCTTCTCCAATTTGCTTCCAGTCACCCTTCACTGTGACAATCAAGCTGCCCATCACATTGCCTTCAATCCTATGTTCCATGAGCGGACCAAACACATTGACATTAATTGTCATATTGTCCGTGAGCAGCTCAAGCATGGCCTTATCACTACTGCGCATATTTCCTCCTCTGAGCAGCCAGCCGATATTCTTACTAAGGGACTTGGAAAGACTCCTCATCATCACCTATTACACAAGTTGGGTGTGCTAGACCTCTATCACCCTCCAACGGGGATCAGATATACAAGACATTTATGTAATTTATAGCTAACTAGTTTTAGAGAAGTTGAGTTAGTTAACTCATAGTTAGCTGTTGTATATAAAGAAACAATAATGCATCAATAAAGTGTGACTTCATTTTCCCAAATACATTTCGAAACTCACCTTTCTTGCTTTATTAACAAGTTGAAAAAAAGAGAAGGACGGTTGTGGAAAGTTTTATACGAAGAAGACGATTCCACTTCCACTTCCTAGTTGGGTAATTCTGATTCAACATCAAATTATTATTAATGTTTCACCCAATCATTTCCGATAAGGTACTTAGTTTTAATGATATCCATTTAGTACTTAATTAACAATAGTGTACCTCTGAATAGAGACATGTCCCTTGTCCTTTCTCTTTATTAATAGTCTTAGTCACACAATTAAGTTGAATTAATCATAATGTACGTACCAACAATAGAATAATACTACACTTTCTTTTGTTGATTTTTCTTTAGCATAATGAAAATATTTAAGACAATTTTAATTTTTTTTAATCTATTTGTATTTGTATCGCTCGTGACCACAACAGAAAACTACATATGGCATAACAGCTTTTGGAAAACAAACGCAACAGCTTTCTGAAAGCTTTTGGCAATTGATTTGAGCGAAACTCAAAATTTCTTATAGGATAAGAATTAACTACATGTGATGTGAGGTAATTGAAACAAAAAAACTCCGATCATAGTCTGGGCTTAGTTGGGCCTTCGGTCCATGTAAACAAAATGGTGAGTTGTCATCCCAGCCCAATCCAAGATCACTTAAAAAGGGAAAAAGAAAATGTGATCGTGTGCCAATACCATGTTCTTCTCCAGATCCAGAGCCGAAAACACATTCGTCTTTGATTATTAATTCAACAAGTTTGGTTGGGAAGCGAGTCTTGAACTTGAAATTTCCTGCCACACTAACTTATAAACTAAACAAAGAAAGAATTGCATTAGATGAAGCTACTGCAGTTGGGGTTTCTTGTTGCGTTAGCATCTGGACTTGCTGCTATACTCATCTTCATCACTGGAGTTTCTACTTTATGTATGCGCTATCTTCCTCTTTTCTACATGCTTATTTTTATATGTTGATTTTATGGATTTGTATTTTTAATTTGATATGTTACGTTTTGTAGATTATAATAGGATTTCAGATGAAGATTATGAAGCATTGGAATCTCTACAGATTGGTTTCCAGAAGTGTGTGGTTAGTTTTACTTTTTAAATGCTATTGAGATTGAATTTATAGTTTTTTGGCCTAAATATTTTGATGGGTGTGCAGTTTTTTTCTAACGTATTGCTAGTATGTGAACTAGTCGAGATGCGTTTATGAATCGTCATGTGGTTTTCGTTGATCGAATTTTGCTGTTATTAGGCTTATAAGGATGTTGATATCATGCTCAAATGTGTATATATATCTTTTGTAGTATAGAGAAAGTGTAATGTTTTGTCTTAACAGTAGTTTATGTGATGCCTTTCATGATGGTGCAGAGTGCAAATGGATTAGGTTTACAAGCTGTGAGTGATAAAGATTACTGCCATGTAACAATTAAATTTCCTAGTGATACTGTCCCCAAATGGGTAGGTACTTCTGTTCGGATTTAGTTTTAACATTCTTGTTAACAGGGTATTATTAATAAAACATCTTATCATAGATTTCTTTATGTTTCTGTACAAGGTTGGATTATGACTTGATTTTCTTATAAATAAACAGAAAGATCCTAAAACTGGGGAACTCGATGGTTTATCATTTGACTTTAATCTTTGTGAAGCTGTAGCTACATGGGAACGGGTGAGTAGTGTTGCACCCATTTAAAGGTTACCTATTTATTGTACTTGTTTTACATTTGTATTATTCTTTACAATTGATTTGTTATTCAGTGAGGTTGTTGCTCAGGTGCGTAACAGTACCACAATTCTCACCAAGGAGTTCATTGATGCTTTGCCGAATGGCTGGGAGGAATATGCGTGGCGTAGAATTAATAAAGGAGTACTTCTGTAAGTATTTTGCAAGTAAAGCAGGATTGTTGTCTTTTTTTGTTTTGGAGATATTAAAAAATCAAATGGCTGCCTGCATTTGGGATCACTCATAAAGATAAAATGTTCCAGTGTGAACTCAACAATAATGTATTAGTCAATAGAATACACCATAAGTTTCTCTGTGAATGCTCATTTTTGGATTTTTGGATGAATTGATATTTACTTGGTAGCCACATGTAGTTTGATGTGGTTCCTATTTTATTGCAGCAACCGCTGTCAGAATAAAACTTTATGCATGGAGAAACTTTCACTGGTACTTCCTGAAACTCCACCATATTTTCCCCGGCAGTTTGGCCGCTGTGCTGTTATTGGTAACTCAGGAGATCTTTTGAAAACAAGGTTTGGGAAGGAGATAGATGGTTATGATGCTGTTATTAGAGAAAATGGAGCCCCCATCCAGGTTAGTCTAAGGCTATATTGGGTGCCAAAACTTCTGCAATTTAACCCTATAATAGTACTTTTTCTTACTCTATTTTATTTTTATTTTTTTGTTTTTACAGAACTATTCAGACCATGTGGGCAAGAAAAGTACATTTCGTCTTCTCAATAGGGGATCTGCTAAAGCTCTTGATAAAGTTGTGGAGTTAGATGGTATGAGCACTAGCCCACTTCTTATTAGACTAATTGCATATTACTACATGCACACTAAAATTCTGATTTCTGCAGAAGCAAGGAAGGAGGTCCTGATAGTTAAAACCACTATTCATGACATCATGAGCAAGATGATACGGGTACATATGTTGTTCTCATGTAGCATCTCTCTGTAGGATTGATTTTTCTCTGCAAACTAGTGCTTTCTTGTGGCAGCAGATGTAAACACTTTTATAGGTTTGGAAATGCTTTTTGTGTGTGGAATGGCTAAAACCTAAAGCATATGTGTTAAAAAATTATGCTCAAGTTTTGAAATTTTATTTGTTTCCAGTTGTCCTCATCTTGGATTCCTTCACTTTTATTAGTGTTCATGATGTTTATAATGTGGATTCACAGTTTTTTTTTTTTTCTCTTTCAATGGTCAGTACTGATGTAATCTATATTCATTATTGTATGTTTCTACCATTACTCCTTGGGCATTGCTTACTGAACTTCTATGTATTGACTGCTCGACCACATAGTATGTTTTTGAAATTTGTGATTTTCAATCATGATGTATTCTTGCATTAATCTGCTTGGTGGTTGTCCACATACACAGCCTCTAAATCCCTATTGTTTTTGCCTCCAAATTTCAAGCCTTTTGATGGACTAGAGGCTTTGAGAAGTTCTTTTCATTCATTACAAGCCTTTTGTTATTAATTCCTTTTATATATGGTTTTCTTTACTGCAGGAAATTCCTATTAAAAATCCTGTATATCTCATGCTAGGTGCATCCTTTGGTTCAGCAGCAAAGGGAACTGGGCTCAAGGCTCTTGAATTTGCTCTCTCTATATGTGATTCGGTAGATATGTACGGTTTCACTGTGGATCCAGGATATAAAGAATGGTATAGATGTTCTATCAACTATTGGTTCCATCAATTTTAATTTCTCTCGGATTTATCTGTTTACCTGAGCAAGGGACTTCATGATATTCTTGCAGGACAAGGTATTTCTCTGAATCTCGACAGGGTCATACACCTCTGCATGGTAGGGCTTACTACCAGATGATGGAGTGTTTGGGTGTAAGTCTTGAACATCTTTCTTTCTCTTTCTCACATAATGTAGCTTTTATATAAGTTCAATATATCTAAAATCAGGAAGTTGGTTCAAGAGGAAGTCTTTGACATATGCTGTTGGTAGGGACATCAACTCAGCATCAATGGATCCCATTTAGTTTTTTCCAGGGGATTGTTCTAATTGTGCATTATAATTATGCATTACTTTTTGATTTATCATGGAATTGTTGGGAAACACAGAACATAGTGCTCCCTTTATATATATGTGGAATCCCCTCATTTCTTACTAATTGGCAAAAAATCTTTTGCTCTTTCTCTTATGAAGCTTATCAAAATACATTCTCCCATGCGAGCTGATCCTAACCGTGTTGTGAAGTGGGTACCAAGCCGTGGACTGATTAGAGCTGCTCGAGTAGCATCTGAGAAATTGTTGAGGTAAGTCATCTTTTTTTATTTATATCATGCAGTTGTTATGCCTCAGTCAAAATTGCAATTCTAAGTGATTTCTTGACTCGTGTTTGTTTTTAAGTTTCTTACCAGCAAAAATAGTTGAGATTCCTGTTTATGGTTTATGTGGTTTAAGTCAGCTGGCCTTGTTTTAGGTTGTGTGGAACAGTTTTGAGTAAATTGATTATATCAATCATTTAATATTAATAGAATTGAACAAAAGGGTGAAAGTAAAAAGGAGAAAAATTGTCCATGGTGACCAGAAAATGCACGCTTTCCCATCTTGATTTTTTACTGTATCAAAAACCTCTATATATATATATATTAGATTATCTGAAAATTTAACAAATTCTTCTACACTGTTAGAGTTGTGCAGAGCATTATGAGTAGGTTTTATTTACTTCTTGGACATGCAATAAATGTTCCTTTTAATGCCTGTAGAATAGTTGGGGCCGGGGTTCATTAATAAAGAAGGGAATTAAACATAAGCCTACTTCAATTTCAAGTCTCAGAAAGGCCGCTATTGACAATCAAAAATCTGTGAAAGGCACAACCATGTACTCATGTAGTGTACCCTTTGGAGCATAGCCCCGGACATGGTCAGCTTTGCATGATGGTAGCCAATTGAATCTGAGACAACCGAAGTTATTCTTCCTAATGATGAGCCAGCTGCACAAATTTGCGAAGTTCTTATATGATTACAGGCCTAAACACGAGTTAATGGATATGAAAAGGTTGCTACAGTTTTTTTTTTTTTTTTTTTCAGTTCAGAAAGTGTTAAGTTTTTCATGCCCCCTTCAATTTTTGCAGATCCATTTCCCGTACTCAATGAGAAAAATATAGGTTGAGATAAAACACTACTGAAAATCAAGATATTCAATTTGCTTGTGTCAGACCAAGCTATTATTTCTATTTAATCTTTGATTGATACCAGAATTTTTTACTGGTGAAAAGAAATTTCTACAATATTAAAGAGATGTAAGCGTGTATACTAAAGACTAAAGAGCTTCTTGCAAGTATGTTGTAAAACTTGTACACATACATTAATAATACGCATTTTGCAAATGTGGAGGCAAAAAATTCAGAGCAGGCATGTATCTTTTTCCATTTGTTTTTTGTTTTCACATAATCAAAATATATTGTATTTGGATAATGGTATTGTTAGTGGGTGGTTGAGAAACAAAAAAGAAACCAGTTTTAGAAGAGAATTTTGGACGGATTCTGTAATTTTGATATGTATTTATTTTGAGAAATCGGACAATTAGAGTGCCAGAGAGGCCTCAATATTAGCATTTATGTTTTTAATNGCTTGTGTCTGACCAAACTATTATTTCTAGCAAGTTTATGTTTTACTCATTTAATCTTTGACTGATACTAGAATATTTTGCTGCCGAAAAGAAATTTCTACAATATTAGAAAGAGTTACATGAATGTAAGCGTGTATTCTAAAGAGCTTCTTGCAAGTGTGTTGTAAAACTTGTATTGATACATTAATAATAGGCATTTTGGAAATGTGAAGGCAAATATGTGCATAAATTCAGAGCAGGCATGTGTTTTATTTAACTTATTTGTATCTTTTTTAATTTGTTTTTTGTTTTCACATAATCAAAAATATATTTGGGTAATGGCAATGTTAGTGGGTGGTTGAGAAACAAATAAAAAAACCAGTTTTACAAGACAGACGGATTCTGTAATTTTGATAAATTTATTTTAAGAAACGGGACAATCAGAGTGTCAGACAGACCTCAATATTAGCATTATTTTTTTAATGGAAAAATAAAGTTGAAGAAATGGAAGGACCACTATCAATTAAGAACCTTAATAGGAACAGTGAGTGAGTTCTCAGCAAGTGTAAGAGCGTGATGTGATTAATCTGATATGTGAAGAACAGGCACGCGTATAATAAACTGCGAAATTACAAAACAATTAACACTCGTTGTTTCATTTCCGCTCTTTTAACTATTAATTCACTTCACTCGACTCAACTCCGAAACTCTTTCCGTTTTCTCTCCTCTTCCTCTCAGAAAAACAAATAAAATCCTCGTTTTGCCTTTTGTTTTAATATACTCACCAAAACCTAGGTTTTTTTATTTTATTTTATATATTTTTATAAGTTAGGTTAAGAGACAAAGTGACAAACACTAATTTCAGAAGAGAAGATATTTCTCCTCTCTCTATTTCTTTTAAATGGGGGAGCCGCCGGAGGGTCAGTTGAACGGTGTCGTATCAGGGGGAGGAGCTGGAACCATGTTGGTACCTTCATCTGAGACCGTTGGATCAAAGCGTCAGCGAAGGCCAAGCGTCAGATTAGGTGATATTGGTGGTGACCTCCATCACCACCAACCGTACGATTCGCACGTTAGAAGAACCACCCTCGGCGCCACCACTACCACCGTCGCCAACTCCAACAAACAATTCAAGCACCATCATATGACTGCTCTCGATCACAAAAGAGAGGCAAGTAAGTCTTCGAAGACTCGAGCTTTAACCAATTTAAGTGCGAATTCTGGTGAATTGACTGAAACCCTAGATGAAAATCTTGATAGTATTGCAAGTGGGAGCTGGAAAGTAAAGGATTCGAAGAAACGAGGATCTGCGAAGAGGGTTAGGTCTAATTGGGTATCCAAAAACAATGAAACCCTAGGGGATAAAAATAATAATAACAATAGCAACGATAATGTTAATAACCACTTTGAAGGAGACGAAAAATATAGCGGAGGAGATGATATGGAAGATGGGTATCGTGGCTTTGATATGGAAAACTCGGAGAGTCCTTTAAAAGAACACAGCCCTGTTCATTCTCTCGAGAATTTAGCGGTTGACGGGCATGAAAGGGAGGTTCTTTATTACAATAGGAGAGGAGTCAGGAGTAATAGGGAAGTGAATGATGGGGTGGAGTTGTCTGGGCCGTCTGATAATGATGTAAGGGATTGGAATAGGAGTGGGAGTGAAGATGGAGTGAGGATTTGGTTGAATAGTTTAGGGTTGGGGAGATACGCACCAGTTTTTGAGATACATGAGGTAGATGATGAGGTATTGCCAATGTTGACATTGGAGGATTTAAAGGATATGGGGATAAATGCTGTAGGGTCGAGGAGGAAGATGTATTGCGCGATACAGAAGCTGGGAAAAGGGTTTTCGTGAAGTTTTGGTTGGTGGGATTGTAGTATTTGAGGAAATATTTAGTTGTCAGCCATGGCAATGTAAGGTGCAATGCAATGTCTGAACTACTTTGAGCTTTTTAGGTTTTTTTTTTCCTAATGTGGTTCTAGTAGTAGTTTTTTTTTTTGGAATAGTTGGCTCATTTCTTAGTGGTTTTAATTGTGCTCTATATAAATGTTTTAATCCAGTGCGATTTTCTAGTATATAGTATTATGATGGGATTTGCTGAAGTATTTTTGGTTATGAATGCTGATAAGTTTGGTCTAATATGAGGAATATATCTAGTTTCATATGGTTTTTGGGGAGAATGAAGAGAAGGAACATGCTTAAGAAGGGAGCTAATAAACTATTTTCAAGTATTTTCCTTTCTCATTCTTTCCAACTGTGAAATGAAATATTGTTGGAGAACTAACTTGTTCAAGTTAGATATGATTTTCTCATTCATAAGGAAAGTTTTAGCTTAATTGAAGCCATTAAACGTTGAGTGGCATCCCTGTGCTCTGATTATGAGAGTTAAGTATCTAATTAGATGTAAATAAGATATTGTTTTATTTTGTCATACTTTGAGCAAGCTATCTATATTAAACAGTTGTGGAAATTAATATTCTGCTGTGCCTATCATGTTAAAACAACTTCAATGGTGTCTATATCCCCATCTCATCTAATTTGATATCGTTGGACCCATATCAACTTAGTTAGCCTGCAATTCTGTGTTCACCATGGAAGTAGTGGCTACAACATTTGATTTTTGATGACTGACTTTTGTTCAAGAGGTGCATGTAATGTTTAGATGATATTTATTTATGGTACTTCAATTAGGAGTTATATGCATATATTTAGTATTTGTGGTTATTTGGGAGAGAATATGTATGAGGGAACAAACATTTTGTGCAACTCTTTTTTGACATTGAGAAACACATCTTAGACGCTCTATAATACAAAGGTTCCCATCATGTTGGGGATGTACTTCTGGAAGTTGTCATCAATTAACTTTGTTAGCTTGTATTGGATCCCATCTCACCAAATTTGGAACTTGGAACTTTGTTAGTAGTCAACGCTGATAATATAGGAAAGCTTTGGTATGGCCATCCAAGTGTTTAAATATACTAAGATGCTATAGTCAGTTTCCTGATCATCTTCCTGGAAGAAGGATTATTGAATCTTTGAGGTTTGAAGATGCAGAGCAATTTTGAAAACCCAAATTTTGCTTTTTCTTTGAACTCTCTTTTGATAGCTGCATTTGATTTTTTCTTTTAAGAAGTATAGGTTTATCAAAAAATGTATAATCCATTTGGTTGTGGAAACTTCATGAATTGATCATTCAATGTGCAAAGTGTTGTGTTGCTGCTGAAGGCTTATTGTGTTTCTTATCAAGTTATTTGTCTTGGTTACTTCTTTCTTATAAGAAAATTGTTAACTAATAACTGTAGTTTTTCTAACTTGTGTGTGTAAAACTTAAATGGAAATTTGTCCCATTTAAACCACAAGTAGTAACATCTTGTAGTGTTCATTGGGTTCTTGATAATCTGATGCAAGACGTTGTTCTATGTGATTTGAATGTACTTATGTTCATTTGTTAGTTTAGTTTTTGAGCTCATTCGAAGAAAATATATATGATTATTTAAATCTTCTTGTAAACCATGACTGGGAGCATTCTGGTTTAGTCTTTCTCAATGGGGAAGGGATGTGGAAGAATGAATGTTTATGTTGACATTATTATCGCTAAGGCAAATGGAATTGCATAAATGTTTAGTGCCTGGTTAGTGAGAATGGAGATTATATACAGAAAAGTGAGCCGTTCTCGTTGTTTCTAGAAATGTATTATGTCTAGGCTGGTAGATGATATTTAGTTATGGCACTCTTTCATTTATTGATCTGCATTTTTGTCATTTTAACTTGAAATGCTAAGTAGATCCTCTGTGTCATGTAAATATTCATTCATGCAATGGTTACAGGTTTTTACTCTCAACTAGACATGGGTGTGTGTTGCGTTTTTTGAAATAGATTGCAAACAAATTTATTCTAACAAAATAAACTAATTAGATAAGACATAATAATTGTTAAATTATACAAATTTTAAATTAAATATAAATTTTTTATATATACAAACTTGTGTTAGGATGAAATTAATAATTGTATCTATATAATTATTAATATCAATTATAGGTAGATGTTTAAATTATTCATCCAACTTGAGAAGATCACCTGAATATTATATACTTTAATTATATTTTTAGGATCATCACCTTGTACAATTGATATTATTTTTGCAGACATGTCTTTGATATTTGATGTCAGTATTTTGTAGTGAATCATGTATGATATTTAATATCAATAATACTATACTTACAAAGATTTCCATACAAAGTGAGGTGGTAAAAAATGAATGGAAGAGTAAAAACAAAAAGTTAAACTCATTAAATTCATTAAAAACAAAAAGTTAAACTCATTAAATTCATTCTTTCATTTATTTTTTGCCACGTCACTTTATATGGAGATCTTTGTAAAATTTCTTTGTATTTGTAAATGTAGTATTACTTATTTAAGATCACCTGAATATTATCAAGATCAACTATTTAAACTTAAAATTTATACTGACTTTTCGTAATTTTTGTAACTTATATTCATTTTCAAGTTGTGTTGTGCGGGTATGTTTATTATATTTTTTTAAACATTATTATTGGTTTTTTTGTCTTCTAAATATCTATTTTTTATATTGAAGTTTATTTTATATTGAATTGATAATTAAAAAATCAATAAATAAAATATTCACAAATTGAACTCAAAGTTTATATCATCATGATTCTTCTCAAATATGTTACCATTTGAAATCTGCAACCAAAGTTTAAAACTTTGTCAAGAAAAGCAAAAAAATTTGTAAGATAATCCATTGGGTATTATTGATAAGTTTATAAATCAATCAGAAAAAGAGAAACTTTGTTGAAAAATGTGAATTTTTAAGCCAAAAAAAAACTTGCAAAATCAAAGGAAAAAACTGATTTTAATGGTTGAAAAGAGAAAATGAATTATTATTATTATTATTATTTTAGAAAAAAAAATTAAGAATGTTGAGAAGATAACTCACATAGAAAGCAACAGTAACTCCAACATTATAATCTGAAGGTAACTTAATCGAAGCATTGAAGAAACCATGAAGATAAAGGTCTCGTGACATAAATCTATTTGTTACAATTAGAATTGACCACCATCTATAACAAAAAAAAAAGTATTTGATGATAGCATCCTAAAGAAAGATGATAATTGTAAAACCTACAAATCAAACAACAAAATCAATCCAAAAATCAACAAGAAGAGATAGAACCAATACAATTAAAACTACATATCAATATTTGTTTTGCTTTGTCATCACTAAAATTGAATTTGTTTTACATGTAAGATGATAAAATGAGTGGTTCAGCAGCAAGTCTATAGTTATCCTAATTCACCGTATAATATATCAAATTAAAGCTCTATCTTTTTAGTTTCCAAAGATTTAAACCATTCATCAATTAGATTTTTATTGAGCAAGTTAAGGCTAATTTATTATTAAATGTTCAATGGAAATTGAGAAACAGGGAAAACCAAAATGTATATGATAAAAAAAAGAAATGGCTTGATAGTGGGGCTATAGTTATCCAAATTAAGCGTATAATATATCAAATTAAAGCACTGTCTATCTAGTTTCTAAAGATTCAAACCTCTCATCAATTGGATTTTATTGAGCAAGTTATTGTCAATTTATCACTAACTGTTCAGTGAAAACCAAAATGTGTATGATGATAAAATGAATGGTTCGGAAGTGGGGCTACAGTTATCAAAATTAAGCTATAATATATCAAATTAAAGCCCTATCTGTCTAGTTTATAAAGATTAAAACCTCTCATCAATTGGATTTTTATTGAGAAAGTTATGGTCAATTTACTACTGACTGTTTAGTGAAAACCAAAATGTGTGTGATGGTAAAAGAAATTGTTCGCCAATAGGGCTACAGTTATCAAATTAAGCATATAATATATCAAATTAAAGCTATGTCTATCTAGTTTCTAAATATTTAAACCTCTCATAAATTGGAGTTTGATTGAGCAATTTATGATCAATTTACTATTAATTGTTCAGTGGAAACCTAAATATGTGTGATGATAAAATTAATAGTTTACTAAAGCTACATGGTTCAGCATCATACACCAGTTGATATTTGTTAAATAAATGAAATTAGTTATATTTAACAACAACCTCTTTTCATAATATATGTATATAATATAAAAAGATATCAACAAAAAGAGATAGAACAATTACAATTAAAATTACATATCAACATTTGTTTTCCTTTAAGGATAATAATAATGGTTCGGCATATTATAAATGGTTTATTAAAGCTACGTGGTTCGACAACAAACATCAGATGATATTTGTGATACAAATAAAATTTGTTATATTCAGCAGCAACCTGTTTTCGATATATGTATGTAACATAAGAACATATTAACAAAAAGAGATAGAACAAATACAACTAAATTTGCATATCAATATTTGTTTTCCTTTGTCATAACTAAAATTGAATTGGTTTTATGTGTGTGATGATAAAATAAATGGTTCGGCCATAAGTCTATAGTTATTCAAATTCATCATATACTATATCGAATTAACGCCCTATCTTTCTAGTTTCCAAAGATTCAAACCGCTCATCAATTAGATTTTTATTGAGTAAGTTATGATTAAGTCACTACTGATTGTGTAGTAGAAATCGAGAAACAAGGAAAACCAAAATGTGTGTGATGATAAAAGGAATGGTTCAGCCATAGAGTTATAGTTATCCAAATTAAGCATATAATATACCAAATTAAAGTCTTGTATGTCTAGTTTTTAAATATTCAAACCTCTCATCAATTGGAGTTTTATTGAGCAAGTTATGGTCAATTTACTATTAACTATTCAGTGAAAACTGAAATGTATGTAATGATAAAAGGAATGGTTCGGTAGTGGGGCTATAGTTATCCAAATTAAGTTATAATATATCAAATTAAATCCCCATCTGTCTAGTTTTCAAAGATTTAAATCGCTCATCAATTGGATATTTATTGAGCAAGTTATGACTAGTTTACTACTGATTGTTAAGTGGAAATCGAAAAACAAGGGAAACAAAAATGTGTATGATGATAAAAGAAATAGTTCATAAGTAGGGCTAAAGTTATCCAAATTAAATGTATAATATATCAATTTAAAACCCCGTCTGTCTAGTTTCTAAAGATGCAAACCTCTAATCAATTGGATTTTTATTGAGCAAGTTATGATCAATTAACTATTGACTATTTAGTGGAAACTGAAATGTGTGTGATGATGAAAAGAATGGTTCGACAGTGGGGCTATAATTATCCAAATTAAGCGTATAATATATCAAATTAAAGCACTGTCTGTCTAGTTTCTAAAGATTTAATCCTCCCATCAATTAGATTTTTATTGAGCAAGTTATTGTCAATTTATTACTGATTATTAAGTGGAAACTGAAGTGCGTATGATGATAAAATGAATGATTCACTTGACCCAAATTTGAGGGATTACATATTAGAACTAATAAGAAATATTTCAAATAACACCTATTAATTGGAAAACAGAATCAACCAAAATTAATTTATTTAATATATATACTTGCACATCAGCAGGACATAAACAATTAATTATTCATATAACAAATTAAAATACACGAATGTTTTTACAGAAAACATATTCAACACAAATGAACTGTTTCTGCTAATATAGATATGACACATACTTATAGTTCGGCTGACAATATGATCTTTGATCTTAGTAAAATGCATAAACATTTACTTGAAAACAAACATAACAAAATTTAATCCATCTTTATGTTAAGATTGTTAAGAAACAATTATTCATTTGTATAATAACTGTTACCTGAAAATGAAATCAACAAAAGTTAATTAAACTTTATATTAAAATTGTTAAGGAATACACTTACCGTTCGGCAAGACTAACATAATTAATCATTCAAATAGATTGACCGAACAAAAACAATCATTCAACCAAATAATAACTGTTAAAATAGTTAGGAGATATACTTACAATTTCGTATTAAAATAATTAGAAGATATACTTATAGTTCAGAAGAACGAATCAAAATAACAACTCATTTGATAATGTCAATTGAACATCCTTCCTTCATTCAATGTCACTTCATGAATCTTTGACATGTAAACAACAACAAAAACATAAATAAATAAAAAAAATCATTGATTAACAAAATCATAAAGAACAGACGTATTATT